GGAGCAAGTTGCACGTGGGGAAAAAAACGACGCCTGATTTAAATGTCACACCTGAACGCTCACATCCTTTTAATTATGTTTGAAATTATGAACATTGCTCAACATCATGAACATTAAACCTTATTTTCAATAAGCAATCCTGAAAAATATTTGGGGGTGCTTAACTTTTTTCCAGGTGTATATATAAACGTATAATGTTATGCGATTTAAGTTATTTGGTCTAAACATTTATGTTTTCATGTTCTAATTTGTTGTCATTATAAAACAAAAGAGGCATAACATATATAATTATGGTGGTTACAAGATTGCTGAAATCTACTGAACCCGTACAGAGATTCATTGGTGAAAATAACAGATAAAATATAAAGTTTTTTCTTAAAAAACATCAGATAACTATCTGGACATTATAAAGATATTACATATGAAATTTGAAAATTTTCTGATGCATAAAAGTATTTTTAATCTTAAAATGAAAACTGCTTTGCATGTTAGATAAGCAACGTATGAAAAGAAAAAAAAAGGGCAAGAGATAAAACATTGCTTAACAAACCTTAAGACTTAATAATAAAAATTTGATATTTTGAGTATGAAAGCATTGCAATGTTTACTGATACACTGCCAAATTTCGTTAACATATGCTTATTAACTTAAAAGTTATAGCATGAAAACTATAACAAGCACAAAACGGTTACGAAGTCTATCCCAGGGATCAAGCCCGTGGTGAAAGAGTTAAGGGATCATTAAAACTTTATTTTGTTAATTTGCAAAAACAGGGACATTTAGAGGATCAAATAGGATACAAAAACTCTCTCAGTATCATTGTTCAATGATATGAAGATGGCCCAGAAAATGTAAAGATTTTCTGATGTCCAAAGCTCTAGATGGTTGATTTCCAATTGGGGCTTTGATTGTGCTGATGTTGGACACCCGAGTGAGTTGAATTACTTCTTTTCTAGTAGTTCAATCTCAACCAGGAACAACTGACGATACAGAGGAGTATAGATAGCATTCCATGCACTTCTACGTAATAAAAAAAAAGCTCTATCCACTTACGAATCCTCACATTTACTAGTGGGGTGACTGTCGATATTAGAACCAGCTGGTTAAGAAGCATTATCTATAATTTTACAATTAACAAAATAATTTAAAATTCTTACTAAAGTAAAGATTACCTGAAGAAGTCCCTGGTGGATCTTTCTGTTGACTTTGAAACAATTATTTCAAGGTGTTAAATTCTTTATGTCTTAGTGTTTTATGTTCATTCTCAAATTAAAGGCCTGGCATGGCCAGGTGGTTAAGGTGCTCGACTCGCAATCTGAGTGTTGCAGGTTTGAATCCTCATTCCACCAAACATGCTATTCTTTTCAGCTGTGGGAGCATTATAGTGTGACGGTTAATCCCACTATTCGTTGGTAAAAGAGTAGCCCAAGAAGTGGCTGTGGGTGGTGATGACTAGCTGCCTTCCCTCTAATCTTACACTGCTAAATTAAGTACAGCTAGCTCGGATAGCCCACGTGTAGCTTTGCGTGAAATTCAAACCAAATCAAACAAACTTAAATTAAAGTAGTGAAAATAAAAAATATTCTATGAAATATGGTATTGAATTATCACACATTTTCTGTCCTAACAGAGAGAGAGAAGATGACACATAGACAGTTTAATAGTTTGGGAAAGTTTCACAAATCTTTGGTGAAAGAACTGGAACATCTTAACCAAGATATGCAACAGGTATTACAGAATAAACAAAACATTAAGTTCTGTATGATATTTTGATATTTTTCTTGCTTTCTAAAGATCTGACATAAAAGTCATTTGGGCTGTATAATGTCAACCCTGTTATAGAAATTAAGTGGCAAAGTCTTAATAACTAATTCAAAGTATATTTTAAATTCACATGAAACTTTGTTGGTTCTTCATGAGTAATAAAAGCCTAACAACCATACTTTCCCAGAAAAAACAAACAAAAACTACACAATTAATCGCCGTTGTAATTTGTCTTACTTTGGAGACTATGCTGTTAAACTGGATATTAAGTAAACTAAAACTGTCATTCATATATATATATCCATGCTCAACTACAGTACCTTTTCAAACAAGCTGTTCTAATTACATAGTTGGTTAAATTTAGACTTGATACCATTTATACTGGTAGCACATAAACATGTTGTGGCATAGAATATGAAATTAAGTAATTCCAGCACTACTGCTCACCAAGACAAGGTGCTAACTGATCACCATCTGAGCCACTGATGCCACTACTGCAGTCAGATATGGAAGAAGAGCGTGATAGAGAGAACCCTGGATGTATTCTTTCAGTTTGTAAGGGAGTGGATGTCAATTCTTTCAAAAGCCGTTTCCTGCAATCCTCCTATAAATTTTTATCTTAATAAATTTAAAATATTACAAGGACTAGGCAGTTTGTAAATCATACAGAATCAACATTTCAGTCACCACTAATGTCTAAACGTTAAAACTATTTAACTAAAATATTTTATGTACACAAATTAAATTCTAGACCATTAATAATGATGTACTTTTGTAGCATTAACCATAAACTTTGTTTGAAATTGAGATAACTTTTCAGGTGACTAATGACAAAATTAATTCAAAGCCCTACAAATATATTTAAGTAATGAAAAATACGTTTCTTATAATATAAATGTTGGTGAATATTTTATAATGATAAAGATAAAAATAACTTAAATAAGTAAAATAAAAAAAAAGATGCTCTAATATACTTTCCTGTTTGGTTGAAAGCAAAGCTTTACGGACGATCGTATCCCTATACGTAGCATAATTTGAAGTAGTCTCTGCCACTTTTTGGAGTTTCTCCAAGTCTGATGCCATCTGGTGAATTCACAGAGAAATAAAATAATTTAATTTAAATGATTAACTTTGTTGATATACTTAGAACAGCTAAATATGAATCTGATTACTCTAATTCATCTCAATTTTTTTTCTTTTAACATATTTATTACACAAATGTAAGTTCATTTCTGCAAAAAATTGTTTTGCATTTTAGTTATTTTTATGGTATAATATGGACTTAACTTTTATCCCTATGCGACACAAAACAGGTAAATTGTGTACACACACCCACACAGATACACCTTTAATTTGAAATTTTCAGAAATAAATTCCAAAATTCTATAGGAAGTTTTTACAAATGCATTAATTGAATGTCTACAAAATAAAACATGAAATTATAAATAAAAAAAAATAGTATTACTGATACCAATAAGTGTCAAAACTTAAAAACTCGAATGAGCATTACAGAGTAAATTTTGCTTTTAACCTCTAGAAAATGATCTATTTAGCTATTGTATTACAGATATAGATAACTGGGCAATAAAAGTTCTATATCCAGTTGAGTCTTTACTAAATACACAATGAATATTGACTCCTCATGTCACAGACCAGGCACGGCCTAGTGGTTAGTGTGCCTGGCTTGTGAAACCAAAGATTCATGGTTTGCAACCTATTCCCCCAAAAAAATTTAACACTTTGAGAACACAGGTGTGTTAAAAGAGTGACAGTCTAATCCCATTATTCTATCAGAAAAAAATTAGAATTTTATACAAATCTGCAATGATTAATTGCACATAATTATACCTAATATTTAACTGATAGACCTGAAGGAAGACAGTTCGTTAACGACTCTTGGACAAAACAAACAAATATCCACTGACTTGGAAGTGTTCATACTCCACAAATCTCACTTCAGTATTCTAACAGAACAATTAAAATCTACAATGCAGAAGAATACTATAATTGACCACGCCTGATATTTCAAGCAGTAAAACAAAAGTTACAAGCTGCTTTATAACGACGTATGCTAGAGAAAATCCT